TACTGAACTCTTCAAGTAAAGATCATATGCTGAGAACAGAACTTTGGCTATTTGCAAACACAGGGATATAACTCAGTTTGGCTGTCCAGATATCCTAGAATATAAGAGCCTTTCATTCAGTAGCATTGGTTTTTTTTTTCAACTTAAGCATTTTCCTAAGAAATATTTCTGAAACATTTTGCATTCTTGTTTTCAATATTTTAAAATTCTTACTTTAAAAGGTGATTTCTGACTTTCCTAGTCTGGGCTGAATGTCTTCTACCTGTATTTAGAACATGCCATTCTTCGCATCCCAGAACTCTGATCCCTGTTCATTGTCAATGTGTCCTTGTGCTTAGATAGCTTCTGATAACTTTTCCATGAGGGGATTTTTCTCCAATACCTAGCATTGCACCTTGTACATATTAGACACTCAGTAAATGCTTGTTGACTAATAATGCTTCCAATAACATCAATTGAAATGCTATAGACTTGACTAAACTTTTACTAAGAAAAATAATAAAATAAATAAAGAAACTATAATTAAAAGCTTTAATGCAAGAATAAGTTTAACTTCCCTAAGCAATGACCCCAACACTAATTTTCAGCTGTTATAGTTAGATGAAATTATCAGAAAGCAGAAATTTATGAACAATGATGTATTTCCATGTTTCTCACCATGTGAGATTTAATATATGTTAATACCAAAGAATAAACTTAAAAGGAGCTGCTATCAAGTTATTTCCCTCCCATGTAAAGAATTTCATAAAAAGCAACTCATATTCTAGAAACTTTCAGTACAGTGGTCATAAAATAAAAAGCACTTATTCTACATTAAGTAAATTTTCTATTGAGGTCAATTAAAGGGAAGACCTATGCCTGTATGTGGTCATTCTGCCTTAGCAAATGGCTTTACACACTCTCCTGAGGTAGGACTTAAAACTGCTCAAAATCTAGATGCCTTTAGAATAGACAAGATGTTTAACTAGACAGATCTGGCTCTACAAATAATCATAGAAGCTTCCTCCTGCAGTAGATGGGAACAAATACAGGGACTGACAGCCAGACAATATGCAGAGAATGAGAGACCTTGGAACACTCAGTCCTAAGTGGAATGTGTCCATCTAATTCCTACACTCAGTTCAGGGGACTCTGGAAGAGAAGGCGGGAAAAGTGTAAGAGCCACAGGGGATGAAGGGCACCAAAGAAACAAGGCCCTCTAAACGAAACAGTATAGAAGCACATTTAAATCACAAGACAGAGGCAGCATGCAAAGAGCCTGCATAGATCTGCACTAGATGGGGTGTTAGAGCTAAAATAGGTGGTCATATGCCCCCATCCCTAATGCAGGTAGCCTAACTGTGGATCTTCACCCCTCCCCTCAATCCAATCCCCCTGTCTCAGTACTATCTTTATAGCAGACCACCCCCACCCACCCCTCACTCACCATCTCCAATTAACACACAGATCCTTATTCATCTTGTCATCATAGTCCCAAAACTCAGCATGCACTCCCTGGGAATCTGCCAGTCAAGCCTGCCAGAAAAGCAAGTAGGCCAGCTAAGCAGGTAAACTAGCTTCAGATCTTTACATTTCCTCCTCTTTTCCAAATCTAATCCCCTGGTTTCATTACCAGCTCTGTAGTAGACTACCTGTTGTGACCAATCATCATCCTCTGTCCTCATTCCCAGAGGACTAAGAAGATCCTGGTAGAACACCTTGCTTTCTACCCTCCTGTAGAGCTCTTTAGACTCTCCACCTCACTAGCCCATCCCCATTTCTAAATGTCAGCTCCCAATACCTAGCAACACATTTTACCCAGACCCTCCAATGGTTACATTAAACAGAATCCCAGAAGAATTCCCTACCAAGCAGCCACACAGACAACATATTCTCCCTATACCAAAGAAAGTAGCAGAAACAAAGGAACAAAATACTCACCAAAAGTCAAGACCAGATATCAGTATGTAGAATTTCAATCATCCCAAATTCAGATGCCTAGACTCTAGTGTTAAAACACAATCAAAAAGAGCCAGGACAATATGTCTTCCCTAGAGACCAGCAACCCTACCACAGTAGGCCCTGATATTTGTGACATAGCAGAAGCACAAGAAAAAGGATTTAAAATAGCCTTTATGAATATGCTAGAGGTCCTTAAAGAGAAATTAATGAATCCTTTAAAGAAATCCATAAAAATACAAACAGACACAACATTCCTAAACATAATAAAAGCAATTTATAGCAAGCCAACAGCAAA